AAGAGGGTGAAATTCATTAAAAAAAAGAGGGTAAATGAATCTTGGTGGGATGACAAGGAAAAAAGCAAAGCTGTTAAGAACCCCTAAACAACCTCCACTCCTGGAAGTGCCTTCAGAAGTGAAGGAGTGAAGCTGCATCTGGTTGAGACCTGCTGGATATTTTGCATCTGTGGATTTGGGAGGGATAATAAATTCTTTTTTTATTTAGCTCCTTATAGTTCTCCCTTCAGTCTGACTCTCAGGTTCCTTCTGGATGAGCCATGAAAGATAAGCATGGAGTTTTAATGCTTTAGAGGTAGCAAGAGGCAGTGAGTGGGATTGGGCCCATTTTCCCATCTTCTTTGGGGTGTGACTGCCAGCTTAATGTAAGGAATGTAAATAGGTTTGATACTTTCAGCTACCTTTTTTTTTTCTTTTTTTTGCTTTTTTTCTGTCAGGACCAGAAAACCCTTCATTTTAAGGGCAGGATTCGTTTGTTAAAAAATCAGTCACTTGAATTTTGAGCTGAATCAGTCCTTTGCAGGGGTCTCGCTTGCAGAATTTCAGGGAGGAAAAAAAAAACACCCCACGTGGCCGTTCTCCGGCGGTTGGTTCTGTTTTTCAGGTATCTCCCCGAGGAAATTTGACAGCCCACGGTGAGAGAGAGTTTTGCTGTCTGATCAGCAGATAAAGCATGTGATTACACACAGAGATCTGCTGCTGTAGAGGAGATTCTGCTAGCCTGGCAGCAGAGTTTGCCTGCAGCAAAGCAGTTGGGCCATGGGCTGCGTTCTCAGGGAAAGTGTTTGCCATCTTTTATTTTCTCCTAAACCCCCCCCCCCCAGGTCGTTCTGCTTGTTTCTATTTTACTTTAATCCCTGTTACTTTTGCAGCTGATTGTATTTCAGAGGGAAAAAAGAAGAGGGGCAAACAAATTGAATGACAGGGTTGCTCAGGAGGATAAGAGGCTCTTCCAGCAGTGTTGGTGGGGGGATGAAGTGGTGAAGAATATCCACTCATTAATGAAATTATGGTGATTCTGAAACGTCTGGTTTACTTAACTGCTTTGTAAATTGATCTTTAAACAGGGTAAGTTTATGAAAATATTTCAAAAAAGGGGAAGGAGCTGAAGCCCTGCTGGAGTAACAGCTGGAAATAACGTTGCTGTAGTTACTCATTAAAAAGTCGTAGATAGTTGGCAGTGTTGGAACGTGTTCAATAATTCCACCTTTTGCAATATTTGTTTTGGGTTTTTAATGGAAAATTCCAAGTTCCTGCAAGTTGTTTTAAAGACATAAAAGACACTCCAGTTTTAAGCACATAAAAGCATTATTTCTAGATTTGATGGTTGTGTATAAAAGCACGTGAAAATGGGAATAGGAGTCCCAAATCAAGCAGAGCAATAAAAAGTGTGTCAGGTGCAATATATGCTGAGTATGTAAATATAAGCAAGGCAGTTTGGACATCTGTATATGACATCAGTGAGACCAGCAGGGATATACTCTGATTTTAGTGTTCTTATCTTTTCAGCATTGAGAGATTACCCAGGAGTTCCCTAAAAGGGTTGGAGGGCTGGAAGAATACTTTACATGGACAGACAGACAGATAATTGAGTTTACTTCGAGTTTTTTTTATCAAATTGCCAACATTTTTCCCATTATTGTGTTAAACACAGGATAATGGACTTATTTTGGCAGTGGGTTTGTTGCTCTTAGGTGGCTTTCTGAACAGGACTCTGGGACACAAGTTGGAAATCATTGAATATCTTACTTTTAGGGCAGAGGGTGGCCTTGTCCAGCAGCCTTTGCATCCCTTTGCACATCCCTGCTGCATCAAAGTGGGACAAATTGAGGCCAGAGCACTTTCCCCCATCCAGCCACGTGCCACAGAAGGTCACCCAGCGCTCGTGCATCTGAGAACACTGCAGTTCATTAGCTGTAATTCACTAAAGGATACTTGGGATTCACTAAATGATTATGTGTAATTCACTAAAGGAGATTAATTTGGCCTGGGAACCCAGAGCCAGAAGCTGAGCCCTGGCACTTTCAGACAAATTAGGAATCACACCCAGATTTTTCTAAGGGAATCACTGGCCATGGCCACCAACTGCTGCAGGAGGGTGGGGAGGCACAGGTTGCCCAGAGAAGCTGTGGCTGCCCCTGGATCCCTGGAAGTATCCAAGGCCAGGTTGGATGGGGCTTGGAGCAACCTGGGATAGTAGAAGTTGTCCCTGCTCATGGCAGGGGGTGGAACTGGATGATCTTTAAGGTCCCTTTCCACCCAAACCATTCTGTAATTCTGTGATTCTGTGAAATAAGTGCTGTGTTGCTGGACAGTTTTGAAGCCATCTGGAAGGTCTTGTTTCTGTCAGATGCGAGTTTTTTGGTTCACAGGGCTAGAAGGACAAAAGTTTTGGGTTTCTACATCTGTGACAAATGGGAGATTGAAACTGAATAATACATGTTTTAGTATTAAACCTTGAAGAGTCTGTAAAGCAGGAATTTTGAGTAGAAGTAATTCCGGATGGAGGCTCTGGCTCATTAAATTCCCCAGTTCAACCAAGTACTTGAACACATGAAACTTGATGTTGGCAGATAAATGATTCAGGAGATGGTGACTTTAGAAATACAGGTAAGAAATGCCCAAACCAGGTTTATCTCTTAAGGAAAAGCGAGTTGGCATATCCAGTGAAAACCACCTGAAGCTCAGATGTTTAAAGAGATTTTCTGTTTGAAAATGAGCTGTCACAGGGCCTTGCGGGCTGTGATGAGTCAGTAAGTCAGTGAGTGACACTTCTCCCAAAGCTTGGAGGAAAAGATTGAGCAGCCCTGCCTCCCCTGGAGGCCAAACCTAGAACAGGGAACGCAGTGTCTGCTTCCAAACGCTCCTTGTCAAGCTGGGAACGCCTCGGTCTGAGAGGCCACTTCCAAATTGTAGTTGTTACAATTCCAGTCAGTAGCTGGTCCACTCCTGCACTGCCTGCCCTGCCCTCCTCGAGCTGAGCAATCTGGGTGCTTGTCTTTGAAAATGGAAAATGGCCTGACTGTTTCCAGTAATCATTTGTCCAAAGGACAGCACATTCCCGCTGGAGCGAAGCACTTATGTGGATGTGGTCTGTCTGTCTTCTCACACAGTCATTTTCTTGGATGGGAGTCATCCCCTTGCCTTGTCCTCCTGCTCCCTTCTCCCTTGGATGGGAGTCATCCCCTTGCCTTGTCCTCCTGCTCCCTTCTCCCTTGGATGGGAGTCATCCCCTTGCCTTGTCCTCCTGCTTCCTTCTCACTTGGATGAGTCATCCTGCCTTGTCCTCCTGCTCACTTCTCCCTTGGATGGAGTCATCCCCTTGCCTTGTCCTCCTGCTCCCTTCTCCCTTGGATGGGAGTCATCCCCTTACCTTGTCCTCCTGCTTCCTTCTCCCACGAAACAATGAAAGGGGTTCAGCAGTTGATTGGTGAGGCCAAAGATGGGATCATCTCCTCATTTCTGTGTTTCCCAGGCTGCCAAAGGCATTTTTTGTGGATTTGGGCATCCTGGGTTTGTAGGACCATGTCTATACAGTTACACTCAAACTCCAGCTCTGCTCAGCAAGCCAGTTCTCAGTGTTCTTCAGCCCATATTACAACATCTCCAGTCAACTCTGTGTCTCCTGCTGGGATCTTCTTTGTGCCAGTACTAAAATGGACATGAGGAGTCATCTTGAGAATCCTTGGAGAGGAATAGGCAGCCCTGTCCCTGGAAGGTCCCACAGCCATCATCCCTCTCTTGGTTTTCACGAGGTCCTTGGAATCCTTATTTGACTTTGCCTAGTGCTCACAGGGATGGTGCATTAGCTCTGTCACATCTCCTGGAGTTTGAGTGATCTCCTCACCCTGCTCTCCTGCAGGAATGGCAATAAACCCTTGACTCATAAGAAGATTCACGAGAAGGATGGAAAATGCCTCGTTCTCCTTGCCAAGTTCTGCCTGCCCTCCATCTGCCATCCCTTCTCCTCAAGATCTAGAGCTCTGAAGGAGGTGATCCTGTAGTTCTGTGCCAGTTGGGTTTGTAGTGAGGAGACTCAGGAAAGAGAAGAGATTGAGGGAGCATATTGTGATTTTTCTTTCAGTTCCACTGGCTTTGCAGCAAATCCACGTTCATTGTTCTGGCACCTTGGGAAGTTGAGGAGTTAAAAACGCTTTTGATGAGCCACCACGATGATTGAGTTACATGAGAGGGCTGCCTTTGGAGGGGAAAAGGCTGAAGACTGACTTCTTTAAATGAAAGCTCAGGAGTAATTGGATGTGCTGCACTTTCCTTGTCAGGGCAGGCGATCCGTGACAGCATTCCAGGTTCAAAAGTTCCCAACTTCAGAAATCCAACTTCAGAAATGGGACTTCAGTCAAATCAACTTGGGTCCTGCAGGCCACTAGAATTTCCGTTAGGTGTGTTTTTATCTCCTTTTCTTTTTTTTTTTTTTTTTTTTTTTTTCTCTTTTCAAGGTTGCACCCAAAGTTAGGGCAACTTGAACTCTTTGTAGTTAAGATTTGAAAGAGTCGAGGTTGATAAATCTCAAGTCACAGCTGGTTAAAACTTCTCCAGAAAAACTCCACCGCTGGCCTCGACCGAACTGTTTTGGAATGTGGGATTTCTACCTGGTGGGTAAATGGGGAGGGGGGTGGGGTGTGCAAAATTTGGTGTGAAATCAACTTGCAGCCTTAATTACTGAGCAACCACTGTCCTGTAGCAGCTGTTTGTCCAAAGCAAAAGGGTCCAAAGCAAAAGATCCATAGCAAAAGGTCCCTACAAACGGGTGTAGGGAATGCCAGGAGAAGAGGGAAATGCTGTTGGAGCCCTCCAAAGAAAATAAGCCCTTTGTGAGCCTGGCACTTTTGGGAACTTGCCTGCTTTGTGCTGCCAGTTCTGTCCTGAGTGTGTGTCTTCAAAGCTTTGGACCAGGATGGATCTTTGAGGCGTGTAAAGTACTCCCCACGTGCCGCAGTTGACCTGAAGCGTTCGGTTTTCCACTTTCCCTCCTTTTGCAGCCTGCTGGAAACCATGTCTCACTACACGGACGAGCCAAGATTTACCATAGAGCAGATAGACCTTCTGCAGCGCCTGAGACGCACGGGAATGACCAGGCATGAGATCCTGCACGCTCTGGAAACCTTGGATCGCCTCGACCAGGAGCACAGCGACAAATTCGGGAGGCGGTCTGGCTACGGGGGCGGCTCCTACGGCAACAGCACCAACAACGTGCCGGCCTCCTCCTCCACGGCCACGGCCTCCACGCAGACCCAGCACTGTGGGATGTCCCCCTCGCCCAGCAACAGCTACGACACCTCCCCGCAGCCTTGCACTACCAATCAGAACGGCAGGGAGAGTAACGACAGGTTGTCCGCCTTCAACGGGAAGATGTCGCCCACCCGCTACCCCCTGGCCAACAGCCTGGCCCAGAGGTCCTACAGCTTCGAGGCCTCCGAGGAGGACCTGGACATCGACGACAAGGTGGAGGAGCTGATGAGGTTAGTGGGGTCTGTAGTGAGGAAGGAAAAGAGCTAAAGGGAGGATATTGGAATTTTTTTTTTTTTTTTTCCAGTTCCGTTTCTGGGCTTTGCTTTCCGTTTCTTTGCTTTCCGTTGTTCTGGTGTCTTGGGAAGTTCAGAGTTAAAACTGCTTTAGATGAGCCACCATGAAGTTTGGAAGGGGAGAGTGGGAAGTGTCCCCAGAGGAGATGTGTGTGTTGGAGGAGCTGTGGTAGCCACAGAGGGTGGGAAGACACTGGCACAGGTCGCCTAGAGAGGTGGTGGTGGATGCCCCATCCCTGCAGACATTCAAGGTTGGGTTGGTCTGGACTCTCAGCAGCCTGATCTAATTGAAGGTTTCTCTGTTTATTGAAGGCCTTTAAAGGTCTCTTCCAGCCCAAACCATTCCATGGGGATTTAGTGATTATCAGGAGAGCAGGAGCTGCTTCAGAGCTGTTCCCTGACAGTTCCCCGAGGGTCACTATCCCAGAACCCCTCACCTGCCTCTCAGCCTTGTGTAGGCAGCCCCTGGCCCTGTGTGGTTGAAATATTTTTCCCATGCTGTTCCCAAAACTGGGATTGATGTTAAAAGCACTAATTTTCCACCCTGTTTTTACTCAGAAGGATTCTGACTGTCAACTCACATGACTCCTCCTCCACTGCTTCATACCTGTTGTAATTCCTTCCATACAGAGGGAGAGTCAGGAATCCTGCTTGGATTGGTCAGTGCTTTCCAGTGGGATCTGCAGAGGAGGGATGTTGCCTGTTTGGAATTTGTGGCAGGGATTTGCACAAGGCTGCAGAGTGGTGTGGGGAAACACAAACAGTAAAGAAGAACAGAAGTTTTCAGTGAGAACCTGTTGGTGGATTTTTTTCCCCCCAGCCTGACCTTCCTTTACTTCTGGCAGCTTCTTTTTCAGGCAAAGATGAAAGGAGGGGATTAAACTCCTGAGGATCAAAGTTGGAGTCAGTGGGCTTTGAGAGCACAGAAAAAAAAAAAAATAAGAGGAAAGGCCAAATGTCTCAAAACAATTTTGGTCATAATGTTGGAATATCTCCCCCCCCACCAAACTGCAACATTCCTGAAGTACCTGTGGGAGAACTGGGGTTCATAAGCTCCAGGATGGAAAGATGTTTGGAGATTTAGGGTGAAGGTGTGGCTTTTGAGGGGGGAGGATTAGAGATGAGCAGTGAGAAAAGCTGATCACCCTCATTCCCTGCTGGATGATGGAATCCTGCAGGAAGGTGGTGGGTGCAGCAGAGTGCCAGGTTCCCGTGGCTGAGGTTTAATCACCCCATTGAGTTTTGGGTTTCTATGCAATAAGTCTCAGGTAATGCTTTTAGTGCTTATTTAAACCGAAATGATGTTTATTTGCAGGCATATGGAAGATGAGTGTGGGGTCTGGAAATAAAAATGAACCCACAACATGGCACCTATTTTGCATTTAGATTTGCGAGCTCGAGTCTGCCTTGGATGCTGCTGTGAGGGGAGAAGGGAAATGACCAAATAATAAAGCCTAATAAAGGCTGGTTTTAATTGTCTGCCCTTCTCAGGAAGGGAGGGAGGAAGAGAAAGGCAAAATATGTGTTTAATGCAATTGAAATCTGCTGTATATCACAGCCCCTGTGCAACCCCCAAGTTATTTGCTTTTTTTAGCACAGTTTTAGCCCCTTCTGAGCTACCTGTGCAGACCATGTAAAAATCATACAAATATCTCAGTTCATTCAGTGCAAAATCAGGACTGAGGGGGTTCAGTGAGGGGACAGAGGTTGCAAAATCTCTTCTCTTTTGGGTCTTTTCCTTGAAAGGCTGTAGGAGTTTCATGTGTGCAAATTCATTTGGGTAACTAACCATGCAGCCCCTGCCATCCTTTTTTTTTTTTTGTGCCTCATTTTTATGACTGGGGTTTTTATGCTGGCACGAGAGAGATTTATTCATCCCTGTGTAATGAAACTTTGTACATTCCATATGGCAGTGCTGCACCTAATATGAATTATATGGGACATGAGTCATCCATTCTCCTGCTCCTGTGCTCGGATCAAACGTGACACTTGTTAAAAGAAGTGTCCACTGCTGAGGCACTTGGACTGTTTTAATGCCAGCCTCCCCCCACTCCTTAGCCCCTAAATAAAGGAAATGGAGCCATTCTCCACCTTCACAGTGCACTTGGGCCTGTCCCTCTTTTTGTGTGTGTGCTGTTGTTGTTTTGTTTTGGTAGGAGGGACAGCAGTGTGATAAAGGAGGAAATCAAAGCCTTCCTGGCCAACCGGAGGATCTCCCAAGCAGTTGTTGCACAGGTAACAGGTAAGGAGCTCTGGGAGGGGTGGGAGTTGTTCCTGTTTCTTTCTGGGATTTTGGGAAGCTGTGTCTAAACTGCCTCTCAGAGCATGGTGCAGATGTTGGAATATCACTTGGCTTTCTGCATTGCAGTGCAGATCTGTCAGCTTAGTCATGATAATGTATGCCTTTGATTTAAGACCCATTGTCCTGCACATCATGGAACTTCCCCAGTGAATCACTTTTTCCTTTTTTTTTTCCTTTTTTTTTTTTTTTTTTTCCTGTGGCTTGTGCTTGCAGATTTTATTTTACGGCATTAAAATAAGCCCGAAATTCTTATCTTAAAATGAAAACGGTTTTCCTTAATTCTTAAATTGTTTGTTGAGTGCAGCAAATAGATGCATATCTGCATCTCTGTGTATGGAGAGGGAGAGAGATAATGGGTATTTATATTCTAAAAAGTATATGAATAGTCAGGAGATGCAGCTATAACTGCACCCAGGAGTCGGATTATGAGAGCTGGAAGTTTTGTCCATCCCTCGCCTTTGAGTCACACTTAAAATGAGATCTGAGTTTGAGGGGTGACCAGACCAGCTCAGATTTTATGTAGAAGGCTCAGTGGTTGTGTTTGTGTCCCCCTGGCCTGAGCCTTCTCTCTTTCACATCCAGAATGAGTGAACGCACTGCGGTGATATCCCACCTTCCCTGGGGGTGTTCCAGAGCTTTACACAAGGAGTGACCAAGTCCTGCTGCTCCTGCATGGGCTGGGGTGTTGCCTTGGCACAGCTTGGGGCTGTTCCTTCTCCTCCTGTCCCTTGTTCCCTCAGAGAAGTGCCTGAGCCCCTCCAGCTCCCCCCTCCTGTCAGGGAGTTGCAGAGCCAGAAGGTCCCCCTGAGCCTCCTTTTCTCCAGGCTGAGCCCCCCCAGCTCCCTCAGCCCTTCCTGCTGCTCCAGCCCCTTCCCCAGCTCTGTTCCCTTCCCTGGACACGCTCCAGCCCCTCAATACCCCAGGAGAAAAACTTGATAAAATCCCAAAGCTCAATCCCATGTTACACCTGTAAGACTTACTAGTTTTTTAACCCAAGCTTGGATAAAGATCCTGAAATAGGTAATTTTTAAGGTTCCTCGGTGACTGGAAATGCCAAATCAGCAGGAGGGAAGCTGTTCTCTTGTATTTCCAGTATTTGAAATGTCATAAGAACCCATCTGTCTGGGAACTCTGAATTTGCAGACAGTTGAGGTGAGCAGGCAGGAGCAAGTGCTGGAGCCACAGAGCCTGGAATTCCTTCCACATCTCTCAACTCTCCTCTGTGATCCTGGGCAAAATTCCTTGTCCTTCCCTGGTCTCAATTTCATCTGGAAAATCATGAGATTAACATTTTGTGTAAATGTGAGGGATGTTTTCAGCCTTATCAGATGTCAGCACTAGTATTTGAGTAATTAAACTATGAATCCAGTCGCTTAAATTGTACCTGAACTTGTAAATTTTGGCAGTTAGTGGGTCACTCTCCTGATTTTGTGCATTCCTTGCCTGAATGTAGTCCTGGAATAACCCACCTCTGAATTAAGCTCTGCACAGCACCCTTGGTGTCTGCCAGCAAATCAGACCATCTTCCCCTGCAAGAGGAGTAATAAACCAAGGGAAAAACTGCAGGAAAGGAGCCTTTCCAAAGCAAGCCGATATTTTCTTTTGGTCAGTGGGGCCACCGAATCAGAATGACCACCCCAAAACTAATGTATCAGTGAAAGGAATGGATCTAATTATAATTAACTAGGTGGGCACATGGCTTTGATACCCCTGGCTCAGGCTGTAAGGAAAGTCAAGCTGGTGGTTTTTCTCCTCCCATGCTGAGCCCTCTCTCTTGGATTTCAGTTGGCATGAGGTTGGCATTCAGCCTTTGGGAGCTCAGATTGTTTCCTCCTGGGAATAAATGACTCCGTCCACTTCAGACGTGGCTGACTGAGTTTCACACCCATCCCACTCAACTCGAGGGGAATCCAGGATGGGCTCCCACAGTGATCAGAGCAATACTGGAAGATGTCACTGGAGACAGTCAGTGGGACGGAGCGAGGACTGATCTAATGGCACTGTGTTATTATCCTGCTGTCAGGCCAAATCAGTGGGAAACCAGGTGGATCTTTGCAGTTGATCTGTGTCATCCTCTGTGGGAAGGTTCCAGGAGCTGATTGATTTTAAATAGAACCCACGGCCCTGCGTAAGCAGATGTGCAGTCCTTGCGTGCCACGATCAAGTGCACAGCTCTGGCTTATCTGAAAGAAATGGTAAGAGATGTTTGAAAGGACCAGATTAAAGAGCGTGCTCAGCACTAACGGGGAGAAACATCAGCTTCCTCTCAAAAGCACAGGGTGGTGAGGAGGGACCAAAATAGCTCAGGACAGACATCCAGAGCACGTGTCCCGGGGCTCTCACTTCCAGAGATTTTTAGGCCTGATGAGTGCTGGTTGACTTGTGTGCTCTTCAGATGTCTCCAGCATCCCAGAGGCTCCCGAGGAACGCCTGGAAACCACTTTTGGTTCGTTAAAATAAGAGTTTGCATAGACAGAGGCAGAATATACGATCCCAAATGGCATCATCTCAGTTTTTATAGGCTTAGTCTTACTGGTAAAGGTGTTCTGTAAATAAATACTTATACAAGAGGACAATAAAAAAATGAGCTTTTAGCCTTCAGCTCTTCTGCCCCAGGAAGGGGCAAGAAAGAAAAGAGGAGTGTGTGGCTGGCTCTGAACTCTCTCAGGAGAGTTATTTGGCCTGGCTGCCCCTGCTGCCGACTTTGTCCTTTCACTCTCTACCAGTTTCTTTTCTACTCTAAGAAATTCCATGTGTGTGTGTGTTGGGAGGGGATCATGGCATGGGGAGGGGAGAGGAATAGCAGTGCATGGACCCCAAAACTTGGCTGCCTTGTCTTAATCATGGCTGGGTTTGAACTGGCCAGATTGGACGTACAGGTGATAAAATTGAGCTGAACCAATGTATTTGTACCTCTTCAGACTGCAGATTTCTGTTCAGCTCATCAGAGGCTGTCATGTTCTCCCAGTGCTTACGACCTTATTTATCCCCACTCTGTAACTTGCCCTGCTCTGCCCTTGGGGCAGAAACCTCCACCATAACCTGGACCCCTCAAAACCTCCGTTCTACTTTATTTTACTGATTTCTTTGAGCTGCACTTCCATTCAGAAATGCATTTCTCCTTTTTCTCTTTTTAATTCTTGTATTGCAAAGCACTTAGAGAATCCACCTTCCTCTCCCAGCCTCTCCATCAGTAAAGAGCTTTTTCCTTTTGTTTTTCCTGCTGTAGCACGAGGGAAGTGATGGAGAGGGAGGATACATGACAGAGGAACATGGAGCTGCAGGTTGAACTCAGCTGGTGCAGCAGAACAATTTTTTAGGCTCTCTTAACCCTTATAAAATTACCAGAAACTTTAAAAGTCGTTCAGATAATGAATCTGAGGGGAAAAAATGAAACCTGGAAGAGGTTCTCTGGTGTACTGAGGGTGGAGGGTAGGGTTGGAAAATAGTAACAGAGTATTAAACAGTGACTTGAAAATAAAGGAATGATTGATAAGGAGCAAAACCTTAACATAACACTTATTAGTGCTGGTCCTAAAAACAGGAGCTGCTTTTTATAGAAACTTTTTTAATGGTGTCTGTAATAAGATAAACAAGAAGCACTTGGGTTGGGCTCTGTATAAATAATCTCCTACTGATAAGAAAAATGACAGTATAAACAGGAGCTAATAATAGTTCCTGCAGAATTTCCTATCTTGGATTTGGAGCTCCTTTTATACCAGGAGCTGCAGCTTTGCTCAGGGTGGGGGCTCAGCCCCACGTGGGGCAGGTGAGGGGATAAATTTTGATCAGCCATAATTTGAAGTCCTGTGCTGTAATTCGCTTTAATTGCCACCAGAATTGTGTCTGGGCATCCACTCAGTTCTGGGCAGAAGGCAAAGGATAAAAGGAGAAATGTAAACTTGCTAAGAGGTGCTGCCTGAGCTTCCAAATGGGGATGGAAAGTGATGGAAATGTTTTCAGGAACTGTCTGTCTGGTCTGTGCTACACTAAAGGAGAGAGGGAGGAGTGTTCAGGGATGAGCCCTCTGCAGCTGGGAATAAATACTTTGATGGATGATGCCTCTGCAAGGTTTGGAAATGCTACCTTTCCCATTTTTTACACATAGGGAGTGAAGGAATCAAAAAAAAGAAAAAAAACCCCAAACTTATTTTCCCCAGGTTACAGAACAGAAATTTGAATTCAGATTTTTAAAAAAACCCAAAACATTTAAAAAACCAAACCCAAACCCGAGAATAAAAACGCAGAGGTCATTTTTTGTTGTTGTTGTTTTTAAATACACATAGAGCTTTGCAGGGTGCAGTTCTGCTCACCTTCCCAATTATCCTGCTGGTACAGCCCAGCCCTGTCCTACTGTCTCTGTCTTAACTGAGATGAGAACTCCAGGAGTTGGCTTTCCATCGTGCTAAACACACCCAGAGCATCCAGTGCAGTGGAGGGCAGTGCTGGAACAAATAAAATCCCTGAAGGTTTGGAACCTACACACACAGGGATGCTGAGCAAATGCAAACACAAAGGGAAACTTCACCAGTTCCTTTGTGTGAAGAGAATTCAGAAAGTTACTGAGTTACTGATCACCTGAAATGCCATGAAACTGGATTTGGAAAAACATTTTCCTTCCTTTTTTTTTTTTTTTTTTTAAACTCATGACAACACGGGGAAAGCTTTTATTTTTTTTCCCCCTGTGATTTTGATCTTTGCAGGTTTTCTGTAAACAAGCTTCGCTAATCTCCTTAAATTGATAGGTGTCCTTTGCAAGCACTTGTTCTGTGGATGTAGGACTTTGCTTACAAAGTGAAGAATTAAAACACAGGCAGTTACTTTCTTCTCCAGGCCTGACGTGTTCCAGGTGCTTCTGAAAACCTCTCCTGAAAGAAACATGAAAGAAATGCAAAGCAGAGCCTGAACAAATCTGTGAAGGTGAAAAGCAGCTCCCAAAGACTCGCTGAGCAGCAGCTTCGAGGGTTAGGAGGAGATTTGTGCTGCAGATACCTGCAGTTGCCTCCTCTTGATGCTGTGTTTTGCCATTTCTTTTCTGTACCTGAAAGGGAAACTCTTTTCCCCCAGACAACTTGTGTAGGAGCCAGAGGAGTGAGCACGACCTGCCATCTCCGTGGGGTTCATTGTTGGGAAGCGTAACCTGCCGTGGGAAGGAGCGATGTGTGGCACAAGAAGTCAGCATTTAAATTGCAGCAGTCCTTTGTCAACACCACCTTTCCTTCAGTGTTTTCTGTGAGAAAGCCAGTTGTGCTCACAGCCCTGTGTTGATGGCCCTGCTGTTGCTGAGCCCAGGGGATGAATGACGGTCATCCCGGTTCGGTTTGGGCGTGAATTTCCTCAGCACAGCTGGACTTTCAGTACTCCAGAGAACTTATTTCATTAAGCTGCTTCTGACAGCAGGATGATTTCTTTTTTTTCCTTCCATTTCCTAGAGAGGAATGATTACAGACAGCTTGCTGGGATGGTCCTGGTGGCAGTACCTGGCCCTGGCCCTGACGCACTTGAGATGCAAGAAAGTCTGATGTGACGATTTTTGGGGGGAAGTTGTTTTTTTAATTGAAAAGAGTGAAGGATGGATTTGGATTAGGGGATCTAGGAAATCCTGGATCATTTCTGCTACGGACTTTGCACGTGAGCTCGATCAGTCAAGCTGTTGAAATGCAGTTTTTGGGCCTGTGAACTGAGCTGGGCTACAGATAAGTTTTACACCTTAAGCACACTTTGCAGAAGCAGCTTTGTGAACTGTGAGGGCTCACAGTGAGTCAAAGGACCAGCTGCTGTGGCTAAATGACGCCAGTTACTTTGCCACAAAAGGATTACAGCTCTGTTCTGGAGGACTTGGGTGCAGTGCAGCACGTTGTGACACTGCAGAGTTGGTGCTAAGACAGATAAAGTTTAAAAGACAGGGAAAGACATCAACCTGTTGGAGCAAGTCCAGAGGAAGGACCATGGAGAGGATTAGAAGGATGGAGCAGCTCTCCTGTGAGAACAGGCTGAAGGGATTGGGGTTGTTCCCCTGGAGGAGAGAAGGCTCTGGGGAGACCTTATTGTGTCCTAGAAGAAGGATGGGGACAAACTTAGCAGGGCCTGTTATGACAGGGAGTAATGTTTTTAAACTGAAGGAGGGTCAGTTTAGATGAGATGGAATAAAGAAGCTTTTTTACAGTGAGAATGGTAAAACCCTGGCACAGGTTGCCCAGAAAGTTGGTGGATGCCCCATCCTTGGAAACATTCAAGGTCAGGTTGGATGGGGCTCTGAACAGCCTGACCTAGCTGAAGGTGCCCCTGCTCATTGCAGGGGGTGTTGGACTTGATGACCTTTAAAGGTCTTTTCCAAGCCAGATTTTTCTGTGATTCTGTGGAAGTGGACATGGCAACACCCAGCTTGAGTCTTCTGGCTCCCACATGGTCTGGAGTGGTCGCATCTGTACCACGTCGTGACGGTGTCGGGCAGCCTCGTGAGCAGAATTCCGATTTTCCACTTGCTGAGGACATCTGATCTCTATTTATTATTTTTATCTAACAGTGCTCTGTGTTTATATCTTAGTTTGTTATCCAGACACTCAGCACACACTTAATTCACCGCAGCGAGTGTGAGTGGACCGTAGTAAACAAGTAAATGTGTGGTGCTGTTGCCCAGTGATCGGTGGGAGCTGGGCAGCCAAACCTTCGTTTGCCGCAGCGCTGTGTTCAAAAAAATGGCTTTTATAAATCATAAGAGTAGGTCAAGAGCTGCAGATTTTCGAAACTTGGTCCTCTCACTGGTGATCAAGCATCTAGATGGCATGATTTCAACCAGACTGAAGCCTTGATCTGGGCCAGAGGATGTCATCAACTTACACTGACTTCTTTTGGTATTAACTTGTAGCTTCCACTGTTACTTGATGTAAACTTGGCAGGATATGAGGTTTCTGTTTGGTTGAGTAATTCCGCTTCCCTTGTAATATAAACTCAATTTTAGATCCCAGTGTGGGCCCTGGGGGTAGGCAGCTCTTGGCTGCCCCAGCTGTTCCTGAACTCTTTTCAGCTGTGGGCAGGGCAGTTGTCTGGGAATGGGTTTTGAGAAAATCAGGATCTGTTTTGTGGGCACAGCTCTGGTGAACAGCAGTAAACTTCTGCCTCCGAAACAAAACACTCCTATCCCTTTTCCCCAGGATAATTAAAACTTCATAGCCTCCAGGCTTCTGTTTAAAAGGAAGAACAATTAAGAGTATTAACCCCGTTTAAAAGTCTGGTTGGAGTAAACCCACCTGAATATGGTACCTGAGAGCCAAGTCGAGACATTCTGAAGTTAACTACCTTGGTGTTCAACACACGAAAAAAAGCACAGTAAAACCCCCAGATTGGAAGTGGTAAAACTACAGGGGGTTGTTTTTCATGAGTTAAATATGGTTATGAGATCTTAAAAGACCTTGATGCATCTTGGGAGGGAAGAGGGAGTTTGGTTTCTGTGTGAGAACCAGCCTCTACCTGCCTGGGCATTATCACCAAGCAGGTGGTGGCACAGGTGGTGTTGGCAGTAAATTGTTACTTGGAGCACCTCCTAAAACTTCAGTTCTCAGGGGAGTCGAGATGTTGTTAACCCTTCCTGGTGGCTGAAGAGCCTTGTGGAGAGCACAGGGAGCTGTTCTGCCTGAAGTTCTGCTGCAGTTATTCGGCAAACTAGACATTTGTTGCTGTTGCCAAGTGAACCTCCAGTTCACCTCCTGGTGGGCTTTTAAACCTCTTGTTTTGTTTAGCTCCTCTCCTTTTTGCTCGTTCTGCATTGATCCTCATTCACTGTCAGGCTTTGGAAATAGCTGTATTAACTTCTATGATTTTTTTTTCCCCCCTTTTTACTTTTTTCTTAGAAATCTCGCTATAAAACCTGGAATGTTTTGTCCCTGATCATTCCTGGATACCTGGAGCTTGACTCCTGCTTTGCTGGCAGACAGCTGCCCTTCCTGGGTTGTTTTCTGTCCCTGGTTCCAGCTGCTGGAACAGTTGGTTTGCTCCATTTCTGGGCTGATTTGATGTGCATCACCCAAACTGTTTCTGTGTTTATCTTCTCATTCAGGCACTGAGTGGTAACGATCTCCTGACTGTCGTTATTTATATGTAATAGTGGGGAAGGGACTTGTTCCCATTCCACAGATGAAGAAGTTTAAGAATGGGGGGAAGTTGAGGACAACTCGAGTGAGTGGTAGATTTGGCTTCCCACTTTTGCCCCCTTTTTGCCTGTGAGTGGATTGGACAGATTCCAGGATGTCCCTCGAGGAAGGATGAGCAAAACACCAGGGAGAAGTCAAGGCAGTTTGGGACAGAGCAGGGAGGCTTCAACTTTTCCTGGGATCGAAGCACCGCAGTTTCCTGGGCTTTGTGAGGCAACACCTTCTATCAGTATAAAACCCACTTAAAAATGTTTGATAAATAACAAGTTTTCTCTTTTTCTTGTGTTTTGTTCTGGTTTTTCCAGGGATCAGTCAGAGCCGGATCTCCCATTGGCTGTTGCAGCAGGGATCGGACCTGAGTGAACAGAAGAAAAGGGCATTTTACAGATGGTACCAGCTTGAGAAGACAAATCCTGGTAAACAAATACAGCCTAAACATCTCCTGCTGTTTATTTATGGAATGGAAACCTTTTGTCACTGTTATGTCACTGATAATTCACTCCTTGTCTGGGGTCCTCCAGAGGTTATTCCTCAGGCCAGTTTAATTTTTAGGAGGGTGGGAAGTAATCTGCACTTCACTTTTCAGCGAGTGATCCAGAGCTGAGTCATCCAGATCTGTCTCATCCATAGCTGTCTGTTCAGCTCCTCAGTCGTGGATATTTGCCCTGGCCTCTCACCACTGACTAAATCTGGGAATCAGAAGCAGTCAGTGGAGTTACAGTCAGTTAATTAATGAAATACCTGCTGAGGCTCTTCAGAAGGAACAATTAGAAAACATTAATAATGGCTGCATAATACGAAGTTGCAGCAAAAAAAAAATCCACAGTTTGGCAGAGAGGATCTTTGGGATAACTTCAGAGGGTTTTGGGTTGGATCTCTGAGCTCCTGGATGGGATGTTGATAGTTCCAGTGATAAACTGGAGATGTGTCTTTCAAATCCCACCTGCCTCTCCAAATCTCAAAATAGATCTTGAATATAAAAGGAGAAGTAAAGCTCCTCATTATCTTTAACTAACCAGCAATCTCAGCATCACAGTTGAATTAATTTCCTCACATTGTTCTTCGCCCCAGATTTTGTTTGACCACAAATCTTTTTTTTTTTCCCTTTAGCAGTTTTATTGTGAAGATCAAAATATTTACGTTTAATTTCCTTTAAACAATGGCGTGATTAAATTAACTGTGTAATTGTTTTAAGGAATTTAAAACTCAGGCTCTCTAATGTGAGCTTGGCTTCAATACCCAGACTTCTATTAAGAAAAATTCCAGTGAAAACAGAGTCTCAAAACCCCTGCTTTGTGTGTGAGCCGAAAATCCAGAGGCTCCAGCTGCCAGTTGGCCTGGGAAGGCTCCAGATTTAAGTTGGGTGGGTTCAAAGTGACAGCTGAGCCTGTTTCTTCTGTTAAGCATCTAGAATTTTTAAAGAATGGAAGTGCCAAGGAGCCCTGATTTCTGCACTGGCTGGAGTTGTGACGCTCGGGATCAGCAAAGTTCCTGGGTACAACCATCCAGGACCAGCTCCGTGGAAAGGCTGGGATTGTGCCCCCCAAAGTGACTCCCTTTGATGGAAGGTGTTGCCTCCAAAGTCGTGGAGAAACTTAGAGGGTTTTGTAAGGTGTTTTTTTTGGGGGGGAAAACCCCACAAAAGTCCTCTCCAGATGTGGATCTTCCCTGTCACTTCATGTCTTTTCTTGCCACTGTCACATGAAGCTGTTGAAGAAATCACATTCTGTGCTGGGATAAGAGAAACCTTGTCCAATTTAGCACTAAAATCTTTGTTTCTAAACCTTCTTTCATTCCACATATCCACCAGCTCCCATCTCCTTTGTCCTTTTGCTCTTGAGAAGTGTCTTAAGGAAGGAAGACTTTGAACACTGAAGGATGTGGCTTAAACTGAAATGAGTCCATGTGAACCTCTGCTTTTCATTACACACACATGGAAAACCTCCTGGAAGAGGGGTTGTTTGAGTGTAACCTTTTTCCCCAGTAAGAAATCTTAAACAGCGTTTTCAAGAAGTGTAAAAGGCAAATTGTTTCCTCTGCCTAAGCAAAGGGGCTATTTGGATGCACTTAAATTCCTTTTAGGAGCAGATAACATTTGGTTTCTTTTAAGACACTGAGGTAAAGGGGCAAACCTTCAGCTTTCCAGCAGCTGTGGGGAAAGTCTGCTTGAGGAAAATGGGGTTGTATTTATTTATTTATTGTAGGATCATCCACTGCTTTTGAATTATTGCCATCTACTATATTGCAGGTCAGGCCAGGTAGCCAGGAGATCATTTACATGGATAGGAACAAGTGTGTTCTGGAAGAATCCTGGATTTAAATCACTGTTACAAACCCAATTGAGAGCCAAAGTTTCAGATCCTACTTACAGTATCCTGTGATTAGTAGACAAACTGCTGCCTCCTCTAGAGCCAGAAAATGAGGAAATCAGTGGAACTTCCTGCCGTGTTCCCAAAGAAGTGATGCCATCACTGCACTCTCCGTAGAATGTGAAAGATTGTCCTCCTTGGAGGAAACCTGAGAGATTAAATGACTGGCACGTGCTTTTTTTCCTATTTGCTAAGAAGTGGCATTTGGCTTTCTGTTCTCAGAATTCCCAGCTTTTCCAGTTCCAGCTGCTGGGAACAAAACCTCAGTCCTTTGAGTGACAGAGTCAGGTCTCTGTGCAGAACCACCTGCATGTTTGAGTTACCAGTGGGCAAAGCGAGGTCTTTGGGAACTAATTAGTTCTCCAATTTTTTTAATTCCTTATCTTGCAAAGCTGGATCCTCTGAGTAAGTCCAGACTGAATTTGTGTAATGGAAAAAAAACCTTTCACTTAAAATTGAAGCAGTTTTGAAGGACCAGGACAGCAGATAAAAATCAATTTATAAACTGGGAAGGAGGAACAGTTGTTTTGTGTGGAAAGGGCTGGAGACCTCTTGGCAGACCTGCAACCTTCCCTTTGTTCTGTCAGGTGGTTTTTGTACAATTTGTAGAATGCACCTTTTTTACCCCACTTTCCCATCTCCTCAACAAAGGTGAGCCCATTCCCTGAGTGTGACACCCCTGCTTTGCCTCACAGCAGGGCCTGTCTTTTACTATGCTTATAGGAACAAAAGATAACTTATAAATATATTAAAAGAGGTTTTATTTTCCTTTTTTTTTTTCCCCAAATGCAGAATGGTGCTATGTAATGCTTTAAATCATCCACAAGCTCTCCTGCATCTGCCCACCAAAGAATTTTGTGCTGGGGAGCCTAAGGGCAGTTTCAGGACACTGCTGCTGTTCAGATGTTGCTCCTGTATGGAAGGAGACTCAGCAATTCCATCATTCCCATTCTTTTCCGGCTTTCTCTGGCCTCCTGAATGTGCTGTTTGTTCCTTGCTTGGGTTTGGTGGCTGGTTTGCATGGGCAGTGTCTGTGTTTCTCCTGTCTCTGGTGGTGGGTGTTCAGACAGAACAGACTGGAACGTCGCAAGAGAGACTGAAATCTCATGGACCGGGGGAAAAAAAACCCACCCACTTTTCCTGCTGTTTGCAATAATCTTGCTCAAAAATGTCTTAATCAACGTTTTCCTGGTAGGAGTGGTGCCGGAGTTAATGGCAATGCCGTGAATTCCAGTGTACTGCTGGTTGTAAATTTTTTCTGAGAGGAGTTGCCAGTTCGGGTGAAAGGCAGTTTTTTTGTTGAAGGGGAGAAGTCAGTGCTAAATGCAAGTGTTTGAAAGGTCTTTAATCCAATTAATAGGGGTGCTTTTCATTTAGATGGAGCTTTTTTTCAGACAGGCACCACTTGTCCTGTGTTTTGTGGAGGACTGAGAGCATTTTGGCAATACATAAATAGTATATATTTCAGAAGCCAGCATATGATTGCAGAGAGCCCTGCAATGTTCTGACTAATTTTTTTTTTTCCTTTTTTTCAGAGCCCATGGGTTTTAAATAAATAAATAAATATTTCTGTTTAGACTGGTAGTTGTTACCCTGATTAGTTTGCCTGGCACTGGGTCTTGGACAATGAGGGAAGTTTGTTGTGGAGTAACTTGTCTCTTGCCTCTTGTAGTGCAAGGTGAAGCTGGCACCTAGAAATGATGTGTTAAAGTCACAAAAGGGTGCAGGCTGCTTCCATTTAGGCTGGCTATTTGTTTTCTGCCAGTCTTCTGTAACAGGAAGGCAGCTGTGGTCACCTTGGGGAGAAGCCTGTGCTCCTGCTCCTCGGAACAGAAGGGAAAAAGAGAGGTGGTTATTATCAAGATGTAGCATCTCCTGCGTGATTCCCACAGGAGTTCTTGTTGAGCTCCAAAAGAAAAGCCAACCCAAAATCAGGGGCTGGGTGTCCCAGGTGGTTTGCACTGGGAATGGATGGTTGGTGATGTGCTGTGTCCCAGAGCTGCAGAGCAAACAGTCCCTGCTCTGATCCTTTTCATCCAAGGCAGGAGCTCTGGGGGGAACCTTTTGCTGCCGATCCGAACCTACCCTGGCTCGGGAGGAACTGAGAGGTGTTTGTTGTGTGATCTGGGGTCAGCCTGGCTAAAAACACAGTGAGACATCTGTTCTTATCAGTGCAATGGAAGAGAGGTACTTGCTGCAAAGGCTTGCCAGGAAATGGTTCCTTGGAGCTGGGAGGTACCTGAGGGTCCCAGTTACCATCCTGGGCATCGCCCCTGTGGGGCACGTGATGGGGATCAGCAACCGCATGTGATGCTCTTACAGCACCTCCCTTTCTTCAGGATGGTGTCTGGGAGGTGCCAAGGGAAGGCAGGCCTTCTCCACGAGGAATTCTGAATATGGAGAGAGCTGCATTCCCGTTGGGAAGCACCAATCTTGCCTCCTCCTCTCCCCAAAAAACCCACCTGCGGGATCCTCGAAGTCTTACCCTGCACTTGAGGGAATTCAGGTTGGCACAGAGAAAACCCAGCACTGCAGGGAAAGGTGCTCAGCACCGGCAGGGAGTGAGAGATGCCACTTTTCCTTTCCCTCTGTGAAGGCAGTTCTTCCCAGACAGTTCACCTCTACACCCCTGAGAGATGTCTGGCTGTTTGATGCCTACCCTGAGATGAAAATCTCATGCTGCATTTTCTCCACTCTGCCTGCTCAGGAGAGAAGTTTCACTTCTCCTTAAAAGCTGCTTGAGGGGTTTATAAAAAGATTCTGAACTGGGGACTGGGATGTAACTTAGTAAGTTATAAAGAAGTGGAGCTTTGGGTGGTGAGAAGGTTGGGATGAAGCTTTGGAACAGCAGAATAAACAGGATCCCATTGAATTGAGGGGGATGAGGAAAAGCTCCAGAGTTTCCTTATCAAACGTGACAGCAGTGCATGTCAGCAGTGGTTTGGGTTCAAGATCACCTTGGTCCACCCCCTGCCATGGACAGGGACACCTTCCACTAGCCCAGGTGGCTCCAAGCCCCATCCAACCTGGCCTTGGACACTTCCAGGGATCCAGGGGCAGCCACAGCTTCTCTGGGCAACCTGTGCCAGGGCCTCCCCACCCTCCCAGCCAACAATTCCTTCCCAATCTCCCATCTCTCCCTGCCCTCTGGCAGTGGGAAGCCATTCCCTGTGCCCTGTCTCCCCATCCCTTGTCTCCAGTCCCTCTCCAGCTCTCCTGGAACCCCTTTAGGCTCTGGAAGGGGCTCCAAGGTCTCCCTGGATCCTTCTCCAGGTGAACATCCCCAGCTCTCCCAGCCTGGCTCCAGGGCACAGGGGCTCCAGCCCTTGGAGCATCCCATGTCCACTCTTTCCACACCTACATCCAAACCCATTTTGGTCTCGTTATGCATTCAGATCCTTCCCTCTCTGTTTGTGGTACTTGCTTGTAATTCTCAGCATATTTCTCTCTTATCTGCTGCTGATATTGATGTTACCCCATAGAAAAGAGAAATAGGTAAATTGATCTAGCAGGGCTACTAAAACAAAAAAAAAAGTATGCTATATTCAGTATGTGAACATATCAGTAGCAGCAGCAGCAGCAAATTTATGCTTTCAATGCAGATTTTTTTCCAGCCTCTGTCTGAAAAATCTCGGAAATATTTAATGGAAGGACTTACCTTGATGCTGGGCATCACTGATTTTCCTGTACTCTCCCTGTGAAATAAAACCTTCAGGTAGGGAAAGTGTATTGCTAAGAGAAGGCAGGGAAAGTGAATTTCTTTTCCTGTTCTTCTCTGTCTTTTTTTTAAATTTTTATTTATTTTTAAGAGGGGAGGTTTTGTGGGTTTTTGTTTGCTTTTCAATATTTGAAGTGTTTTTAAAGCCTGGCAACTTGACACCCACCCAGCCCCCTAAAGTGTGCAAGGACTAGAAAGGACTAGATAAGGAGCTTTCCTTGAAATGGCCTCCTGGTAAATTGGCACTATAGGAAATATTTCATGTTTCAATAAAACCCAAGTAATCTGCGTGGGCTCCTTAGCTGGGAATTAGTGAGAGGCACCCTGTGTTGTGTGTGCAAGGCCGAGATTGTGGGGCTTCACTTCCTACAGGCTCCTCCTGGCTAACATTTGTAAATTGTTTGGAGCTCCGCTACCTGCCACAGACGCCGCGAGGAAAACACTCCGTGTGCATTTCTGGGAGGGAGCACAGCCAAGTGCCTCAATAGCTCATTTCTTGCTTTTTAGCTGGAGGAATTTGTTTATTGGTTAAACTCTCGAGTTCCCCTGACCCTTTTACCCCGTGGTGTGTTAGAGGAGCAGTGTTGTTTCACCACCACGGTGCGTTTGGACGATTAAATCCCCAGCGCAGGAATTCCACTGGAGCTCAGAGTGTTTGTGGGATATAGGTGGAGATTTATCTTTTCACACAATTTTTTTACACAAGAGCAGCTCTTCCCTCCCTGTTGGGGGAAGTCACTGAGCACAAAGCTGTCCTTCAGAACGTGCCCTGCTTTCCGTCCTCGTGTCCTGTACCAGGTTCCCGTCCTCACCAGGGGATGGAGGAAAGATCGATCTCCCAGCCTGGGCCTTGATTTATCTTGATTTATTAACTGAGAGGCTCTTGTGGAAAGAAATCAGGGGTGAGTTTCAAAGGGGCCTTTCCTGAGGGCATCTTGCCAAGTCCTGTCTCGTGCTTGATGCTTTCCAGCTCAGAGCTATTGAAAGGAGAAATACGTCCATGGAAGGGGAGCAGAAGAGGAAAGTTGTGGGGTTAATCTGCTTTCAGTGACTTTTCCTGGCCCCCTGGCAGCCATGAGCCCGTGTTTGCACAAGTCACAGGTTGTGCTTCTGTTGGTGGAGCTGCTTCAGGTGTTCACTCAGCTCTTTGGACACACTGAAATACCTTTCATATAAATTTACCGTTTTATTTCCTGACACTGCTGTAAAATTAAACAGAACTTGCTGTTTCCCATGTTTTGACAGACCAGGTGGCAGCACAGCCCAAATAAATCCCAGCTGGGGCACAGCTCACCCTTTTTGTACAACCCTTTTCCTCTTGATGAGGACAGGACAGCTCTTCCTAAGTGCCTGTCAGCTCAGTTATGTCTCCTTAGGCTTCCATGGTCACCTGATACCTCTGTGACTTGGAGGCTGGGGATGGCAACCCTTTGTGCATGTTTAAGGTGTCTCTTTTTGACAGTGCTTTACTTTTTTAGTTCGAATGATTTCACATCTGTCCTGTCTTTTTTTTATTTTTTCCACCAGCAGGAGTGAGAGGATGGGCATGACTTTAACCCCCTGAAAACCCACAATATTTATTATTCTTAGGGGCCACACTAAGCATGAGACCAGCTCCTATCCCGGTAGAAGAGCCAGAATGGAGACAGACGCCTCCCCCAGTCACAGCTACCTCTGGGACCTTCAGACTACGGCGAGGCAGTCGGTTCACGTGGAGAAAGGAGTGCCTGGCAGTCATGGAAAGGTAGGTCACTCTGGGGGTTTGGAGGTGGGGGTGTTTTAAAGCCAACTCAAGTGTCCTTTTGCCTGCTCTGGTGAACACCAGCATTGTTTCCAAAGGTGTGTTTTACTGTTGTGTTATAAAAACGTGGCACTGCTCTGGACAATCTCTCTTTATTTTTTTTGTAGCCCCCAGGATATCGTGACTTTAGTCAGTATTGGTGTTCAGCTCTTCCTTTGGTTTTGTAGAAACCTTTCCACGTAGCCTCATCCAGGCTGTCTTGGTGGGGGTCTGCACTGTCTTTACACTTTTCCAGATTTCCCCTCGTCGTGTATCCTGATATTCTCTAGGCATTTTGGCAGGGCTGTAATTGCTCAGGGTGCAGAACTTTGCCTAACAAAGCAGTAGATTCCTTGTCCAAAAAGGCTCTTACAACCCTTTTGCATGAGCTGGGAGCAGCACGGAGCAAAGTGGATCTTTGAAATACATCTGCAGAGCGGGAGGTGATCATTAGAGCTCCCAGCTCTCCCGGTCCTGCAGAGATGGAGCACTGCGAGCCTAGGCGTGCTTTGCCTTTCCCTCCGCTCGCAGTAATGTCTCTTTTGTGGATAATGTTGTGTAACAGAAAAGGGCCAGTGAACTCAGATGTAGTTTGGGGATGAATGCTTGTTTCTGTTCAGGGCTAAATGGCTGGGAAGAGTTTTCTCCCCTCTGAGAGCAGGAGGCACTTCCTTTCCGTGGAAGCACCGTGTGTGTGCTGCACTCCTCTGGTTTGCAATTCCAGTGAGACCTCGGCCAGCAGATCTGTAGGATGTGCTTTTACCATTTCTGTAATGCTCCTCTTCCCTCCTGCTTGCACAAGGGCCTTGGGAAGTGATTAGGAGCAGGAGCTGAGGCTGAGCTGAGACTGAAATCCTGAGTTCCCTCGGGAGCACAGACACATTTGTGTGTGACCACAGGCCATCACGGGGCCTTTGCAGGACTGGAACCAGTAACTAAGTGTTTGTTTCCCTGTTCTGCTCTGGCACTGCACTGATATTTTCAGCTTAGACTGGGTGTTTCCCCAAAGGAAATAATGTTTGAAATCTGTTCTGCTTTGCTGGACTAAACCAAAGTCCTGGGATCTGGTTGTACAGGACTGTGTTTTTCTGGTGTCCCCCTCCACAGAGGCAGTACAGGATCTTTAGCACTTCAGAGTGCTTGTATGACTGTCCTGATGTGTGGAATGACAAAACCACCACAGCTCTGTGTGCCTTCAGGGCAGCACCGGCTCCTGATGAACCCTCTGTGTGTGAAATAGTTCACTCTGAAGTGGAATTAGAGCTCTTTGGACGTGGCTGTTTTCATTTTTTGATTTCTTGTCTGGCCTGAAGTGCAATAACTGCTGTTGTTTGAGTCCTGGTTGTGCCTCAGACTCCTCTGTGGAGAAACACAGAGCAGAGAGGGAGCTGAGCAAACCAGCACTACCTTTTCCTCCTCTACATCTCTCCTCAAGCCTGCTGAGAAACTCTCAGAGAACCTGTGGTGGTTTGATGTGTCTGTTAGAAAGGTGTGAGATTTGGGTTTGGTTATGGAAAGAAGCAAATCAGTGCCTGACACTGGAAATCACCCAGTTGTGAATGCAGATACGTAATCACTCGTTCTTAATTTTTCATTAACTGCTTTTCTTCTTTGTCCTTCTTGGTTTTGTTCTCTGTGTCTTGTGCCCTGGCAAGGTCTTTGCTGCTGGGGTTTTCTTCTTACTCCATTGCTGCTGCCACATTGCCTTAATCCTGGCTTTAATATTAATTTGCCAAGCCCTGGGTAGGTCACCGTGAGCGCTGAGTTTCACAGCCTTTGTGTGGGGTAGTGGAAATCAGGGCTGAGGGGGTTTCATTCAAGGCAGGACCACACTAAAAGTGTTGCATGGCAATAAAACTGCACCATAAAGCCAGCTGGGAATACGCTTGTTAAACTGTTGTGCTTTAGTAGGCCTAGTTGAGCTGGAGGGATGAGCTGTTTTATGTGACAGGTTCTGAAAGAGTGGGAGAAAAATGCTCTTCTGGGAGCCCCAGGAAGAAAGAAGCTGATTTCACTTACAAGTCACTGGAGTCTGCCAGGCTTGTCCATAATGTGACTCATAACAGCAGCAGGATGGAGGTAACCAGATTGGTGGCTGTCTGGCCCAGGGGGTCAGGTTCCCTCCATGCCATAGTGTTAGGAATAAGCATTTGGTTACTAAAATGGTGGTTGGCATTGCCTGTGGGCTGGTGCTGTTTGTTTGGTAATTTGCATTTTCCTCCCAGGGATTAAATTTTGACTGTGAATGGAGGCATCTCACTTTAAGGGGCTGTTTTCCTCCAGGAAGTGCAGGTTTCACTGTGTTGTGTTTGCATGTCCTGCAGCTTCTTGATGTGATGTTGGTGCAGGCAGGGGTTTGGGCACCTTTGGCTGATAATTATCCAGCAAGGAGGAACAGAGATCCAGGAGACAATTCTGTCCAACTCATATGAGGGTTGTAAGCACCTCCCTCTCCTGTTGCCTTCTGCACCTAGAACTGACTTTGGTCATTTAGTTTAAAGCCTGAAGATAAGAGGGTTGAATCTAAACCTTACTGGAAACTCTTGTGTAGGTAATGCAGAACTTCTTCCTTCTGAGTGTTACTGGAATGCTGTATAAACAAATTTGGGATGAGGATGGGGGTGCTGACCTGCCCTCTCAGTTAATTGTGTGCTTTTGAGTTGTATTCAGCTGGTGAGAACTGCCATCGCTAAAAGTCGGTGTGTCCAACCGGCTGAGAGCACTTCAGGGGAAGGTCCTGAATTTGATGGCAAAAATTAGAGGGGTTTGCCTCCTGGAGCACTGAAAATGCACAGCACCAGTCAGGGTTTGGCCCATGAGCTGAATGGGAGGGGTGAGGGTTGAAGGGCTCGCTTCTCTTTTTTCATAAAAGACTGAAAGCAACAAAAATTCCAGTACAGTTAATTATTATATTGGTGCCAACCTGATAGGATTAAGATTAGAGTTAGGGCCATATACTTAGATGTCTGATGTACCTAAATGTCTGTGTACAGGGGATGTGTATTAAAGAAACTAATTGGTTTATACTGGATTTCCAGAATGCTGCTTGTGGTTTCTGTAATTCGATTCTCCAGTCTTCCCTGCATTTTTGGAATCCTCCCAGGATAGTTTATTATTCTCTGGGCTTAGATTTCGGACGATGGATTCGGGTCTCTTTCTCCCTTTTTTTTTTTTTTTTTTTTTTTTTAAAAAAAAAAAAAAAAACCAACTCTCTCTCAATATTTATGCTGTGAAGGTTAAGAGGAGCAGTAGTTGCAGAAAGTAAAGCTCTATATTTAACTGCAGACTAGGTGTGGTTCAGACAACTGCAGTGCCAAGCTGCCTCCCTCTCTGCTGTGCTACTGATACCAACCTTGACCTGTTCCCTCCTGGAGCCTCCTGCCCGTGGAAGATGCTGAGTTTTGAGCGTGTCGGTGCTGTCATGTGGCTTTGCCCTCCTTTGGGAACAGAGCTAAGCCTGCAAGAGTCCTTTCTGTGCAAAGCTCAGGTTAAACTTGAAAGCCCGTTTCTGCTTCGCTTTCCTGCTCTTTTTCTGGTTTCTGCGTCTTGTCCCACAGATAATTTTTATTTTTCTTTTTCTCTGCTTTACCTCTGCTTTTCAACCCCTCTCATTAGAACTACGAAATAGAAAATTCCCTCAGGGTTTTCTCCCCCTTTTTTTTTTTTTTTTTTTAAACTGTGTTGTCTTGTCGTTTTGTTTTCTTTATTATTATTTTTTTCCCCAAGTGATTTGTGCTTCTCCTCTAATCATGTGTTGGAGTTGAGGTTTATCTTCTTTTTCAGGCAAAAAGAATAACTGAGATTGGCAGCAGAATCAGTGACTTTATACCCGTTTTAAGGCACTTTTATCGAGTGCCATTAAAGACTGGGGGGGGGGGTTTGACTGTTGTTTTTTAAGTGTACACTTTATCCAAAGATTAAATTAAAATAACTGTAAATTCTGCCCTAAACAAAAATGAATAATTCATCAGCTGAACGTATTTCAGTTTGTCTGGGGAGCAGAGACTTTGCTTTCTGGTTGAGGGTTATTTGGTTTGATTTTATGGGTCTGTTTTTTCTTTTTTTTTTTTTTTTTTTTAACACTTGTCTGTGCTTGTGAAGCTCCTTTTGTAAAGGTGTATTTAGATTAAATAAGACTAAGATGATATAGATACCCATTATCCCCCATTTCATAGGTGGCAAAACAAGAGTCAGGTGTTTCACTTGGCTTTATTCCCGAGAGAAATGGGTTTAGATTTCCCAAGATAGGAGGGTATAGTTTCATGCTATAGCTGAGCTGAATTAACAGTTTGTCACCAGCTCATCCTTAGGTGTTATCCTGCCTCACCACCCTTCTCAATTCTTCCTCCTCCTCAGTTTCCCTGCTCCTGCCACCCTGCTCTGTGCCAGCTATGTTTCTTGTCTGATGGAAATAGCAGCCAGTTCAGCTCAGTTCAGGAAAAATAAATCCTTTTTGTCCCTCCCTCCTGCATTTTCCTGATTTGGTTCGCCTTGCTGTGCAGGGAGGGGGTGCCAGAGCTGTCCCAGGGCAGAGGACAGGGATGCACAGCTGGGAGCACAAGGAAGGGGGAGTTTAACAAAAACCATGTACAGATTTTCCATGGTGGTTCTTTGATCTGCTTGGTTTTGTTCTGGTTTGGTTTGGTTTGGTTTGAGCAGGGGGAGTTCCTGGTTTCATTAAAAGCGTGGCCATGCTGGCAGTTGTGCTGGCATCGTGGAGGAGGGGTCCTTTGATTCTTCCAAGGAGCAGGAATGTGTTAGTTCCATGAGAGTTCCTTAGAAGGATGGAGCACCTCTCCTATGAGGAAAGGCTGGGAGAGCTGGGGGGGTTCGCCTGGAGAAGAGAAGGATCCAGTAAGACCTTGGAGCCCCTTCCAGAGCCTAAAGGGGCTCCAGGAGAGCTGGAGAGGGACTGGGGACAAGGATGGAGGGACAGGACACAGGGAATGGCTTCCCACTGCCAA